CATATAACATTCAAGATTCCAGAAATTCAACACAAGGACAAAATATTAAAAGCTGTTAGAGAAAAGAAAGAAATCACCCATAAAGGAAAGCCCATCAGAATCACAGTAGACTTCTCAACACAAATTCTGAAGTCAAGGAGAGCTTGGAGTGAAGTATTTCAAGCCCTAAAAGAAAACAACCTCCAACTCAGACTGATGTACTCTGCAAAACTATCCTTCAAACTGATGAAGAAATATGATACTTCCATAACAAAGAACACCTGAAGAAACTCATGACCACCAAACCAGCACTCCAAAGTGTCCTGAAGGATATTCTAAAATAGACACATCAACTAGACAAAAAATTGCTAAAATAGCAAAGACAATTCTGGGCAACAAAGGCAAAGCAAGGGGTATCACAATCCCTGACTTTAAATTACATTACAAAGCTACAGTGATATAAACAGGATAGTCCCAGCAAAAGAACATACCTGAGGACCAGCGGAACAGACTAGAGGATGCAGAAAAAACTCCAGACATACTCAACTACCTTGTCTTTGACAAAGTAGCCAAACAGCTTCACTGGAAGAAAAATAGCCTCTTTAATAAATGGTGCTGGAAAAACTGGCTTTCCACGCACTGAAGGTTGAAACTAGACCCATATCATTTGCCATGCACTAACCTAAAATCAAAATAGATCAAAGATCTAAATATTAAAACAGAAACACTATATCTGGAAAAGAGAATAGGTAGAACGCTTGAGGACATAGGAGTAGGCAAAGACTTCATGAACAAAACCCAGACCACATGAGAAATACTACAAAGAATCAACTGGGACCTCATCTTATTTAAAAGCTTTTGGACAGCAAGAAAAACCACCAACAGAGTGAAGAGACAACCCACAGAGTGGGAAAATTTTTTTACCAGCTAGTCAGATAAATGACTGGTATCTAGAATCTATAAAGAACTAAAAAAAAAGACCCCCCAAATTTAAAGACCCAATCCAAAAATGGGCATCTGAAACAAAAAGACACTTCTCAGATGAAGAATTAGAAACAGCAAATAAATATATGAAAAAATGTTCAACATCACTGATCATTCAAGAGATGCAAATTAAAACACTGAGATTCCATCTCACTCCAGAAAAAATGGCAGCTATCAAGAAATCAACCAATAACAAATGCTGGAGGGGCTGTGGGGGGAAAAGGAACCCTTCTCCACTGCTAGTGGGAGTGCAGACTGGTGCAACCACTGTAGAAATCAGTGTGCAGATTTCTCAAAAAACTAAAACTAGAGGTTCCATTTGACCCAGCTATATTTCTTCTTGGTATCATCCCTAAAGAATTAAAAGCATCATACCATGGTGATACATGCATACCCATGTTTATAGCAACACAGTTTGTAATAGCTAAATCTTGGAAACAGCCCAAATGCCCATCAACTGACGAGTGGATAAAGAAGATGTGTTTTTTTTATACAATGGAGTACTACTCTGCCATAAAGAAAGGTGAGCTTCAGACATTTATAGCTAAATGGATGGACCCTGGGACCGTACTCTTAAGTGAAATAAATCGGACACACATGTTTAAATACCACATTGTTTCGCTGGTGTGAGAAACTGAAAGTGGAAATAAGCACTGAAATGTATAATGGATGTTGTGAAATGGGAGGAAAGTATTCAAATGGAAAGGGGAACAGGGGAAGAAGAAGGGAGAAAGTAAGGAAGGGACAAAAAAAGTGAAAATAGAAGGAAAAAATGAAAATAAAGCTTTTGTACACAGGGAGGGGAGGGGGCTTGAGGGGGGAAGAATGAGATAAAATAAAATTTATTAAAAGAAAAAGGATTAAGATGCAACATGTATATATATCAATTCCCCACAATGAATGTATTCATTGTATATCACAAATGTATCAATAAAAAATAAATTTTTAAAAAATAAGTATGTTTTAAAGAACTGCATTAAAATAAACTCAAACTTCCCTTTGGTTAAACTGTGACAAAATCTGATTGGATTACAAATAACACAACTGTGTAATTTTGTTTTCAATTAAAAAATAATCACCTCACTCAGGAAATAAAATAGTCTGAATGGTTGCAAGATACAAGATCATTATACAAAATTCCAGTGTATTTCTATATACTAGCAATGAACAATGTCAAAAGAAAACATTTTCATTTATAAAAGCACCAAAAAGAATAAAACACAAATAAATTTAATCAAAGAAGTGCAAAACTTAAACTCTGAAAACTACAAGCCATTGTTGAAAAATCTTAAATGATCTAAATAAACAGGAAAACATCCCATGTTCATGGGCCAGAATACTTTACATCATTAAATGGCAAAATTCCCAAAGTGATGTACAGAGTGAAGGAAATCCTTTTCAGAATTCCAGCTGACTTCTTTGTAGAAATTGATAAGATGATTTTAAAATTAATTCAGACATGCAAGGAACCCAGAATAACCAAAACAATCTCAATAACAAAAAAAGCAAAGTTGAAAGGTTCATGCTTTTTATTTCAAAACTTACTACAAAACCATGTTGATAAAGGCTGTGCACTACTGGCAGAAGGACAGGCATAGATCAGTGGAATGGAATTGATTATACAAAAATAAACATGTACATCTATGGCCAGTGCATCTTGTAAAAGGCACGAGGCCATTTAAGAGCAAAAGGTCTTTTTCAACAAATGGTTCTAGGACAAATGGATAGTGCACGCAAAAAAAAAAAAAAGAAATTAGATCTTCACCTCATACTATATATAAAAATTAATTAAATGCATCAAAGAACAAATTGTAAATAATACAACTACAGAACTATTAAAAGAAAACATAGGGAAGCCAGGTCTGGTGGTGCACACCTGTAATTCCAGCACTCTGGGAGGCTGAGGCAGGATAAAAAGCTCAAGCCCAGCCAGGGCAACTTATTAACTTAGTAAGAACCTGTCTCAAAAAAAAAAAAATGTAAGAGTAAAAAAGGGTTGGGGATGTAGCTCAGTGCAAAGGCCCTGGGTTCAACTCCCAGTACCACAGAGAAAGACAGAGGGAGAGGGAGGGGAAGGACAGGAGGGAGAGAGGAGAGAAGAGGACAGAACAGGGGTGGGGAAGGAAGTGGACAACAGATCAGAGGAGCGGGAGGGAGCAGAGGAAAAGAAAACATGGATAAATATGACCAAACAAGCACAAGAAGCACCACCAACAAAAATAGATAAATTGGCTAGGGATTTAGCTTAGTGGTGCTGCCGCCTGCCTCTCAAGCACAAGGTCCTAATTCAATCCCCAGGACCAAAAAAAAAAAAGTAATGATCTTTATCTCAGGAATTTCTCTGGAAAAAAAATCAACTTTATGCCGGGGATTTAGCTCAGTGGTGCTGCTGTCTGCCTCTCAAGCACAAGGTCCTGAGTTCGATCCTCGGTACAAAAAAAAAAAAAGATAAATTGGGCTGCATTGAAATGACTTTTCTGTTTCAAAGAATACTATCAAGAAAGAACAAAGACAATTTACAAAATAAAAAAAATCAATATGATAAAGGACCTGTACCTAAATATATAAAGAACTTTTACAACTCCATAATAAAAAGAAAATAAAATTTAAAATAAGGGATCTCAAAAGACATTTCTCCAAGGAAATATACAGAGACACCTGAGTACATGAAAAGATACCCAACATCTTTAGTCATGAGACCAATACCAAATACCATGAGATACCACTTTACATCCACTAGGCTGGCAGAGTCAAAGGAAGAACGTGCAGACCCTGGAACCCTCATGTACTGTTGGCAGGAATGTAGAACAGTTCAGCAGTGATAGAAAATAATCTGCCAGGTCTCTAAATAACTCAACACGGAGTTATTATCCCACTCAGCAGTTCTAATTCTAAAAATGAAAACATGACCAAACAAGAACTTTCACAGGGAAATTTAGACCAAATAATTCATAGTAGCCAAAAAGTGGAAACAACCCAAATGCCCATCACCTGATAAACAGAAATTCAAGGCACCCAGTGAATGTGGTCTAGCCAAACAGTGGAATATTATTCAGCCATGAAAAGAAATGAAGTACTAACCCATGCTACAATGTGGATGAGCTTTGAACATTATGCTGAATAAAAGAAGCCAGTCACACATTCTATAATTCTTTTTATATGAAATGCCCACAATAAGGCAATCTCTATAGACAAGAAAGGAGATTAGTGGTTGCTTAGCTGTGGGGTGTGGGGCTAGAAGATAGGAATAATAAAGGTTATGAAGTTTCTTTTGGGGTGATAAAATGTTCTAAAAATTGGCTGGGGAATATGTACACACCTGTGAACATACCAAAAACCACTGACCTGTGCAATTTAAATGGATGAAATTATCGTAAGTGAATTACATCTCAGGAAAAAAGCAAAACAGAAAGAAGTCAGAAGAGGAAAATACTCTAGGCATAGAGGAGCAAGGACAAAAGTGACATTGAATTCCTCATCAGAAGTCACACAGGCAAGATGAGAGTGGACAAACATCTAAAGTCCTAAAAGAAAAACCTACCACCTCAAAATTCACTGTCCAGTGAAATTATCCTTCCAAAGAGAAGGAGAAAAAAAGACTTTGTCAGAGAAACAGAAAACGTCTCACAGTGCAGGGCAGCCTCTTGTGATTGTCCTTTCTCACCAGGACCACTTCCTGCCTCAGCCTCCTAACCTGGCCTCACACACAGGCACGGTGTGGGCAGCAGGAGGTCTGTAAGGAGAGCTGAGAACCCCCTGGAGTGGCAGAAGAGCACTTGGTAGGGCTGGACACGCCCAGGTGGGAAAAGAGTGCTTCTACTAGGAGGAGCCCTGCAGTCACCAACGCTGTCCTCACTCTGCCCCTCAGCCCAAGTGCTGGCAAAGGGCAGCAGGAAGCAACCTGCAGAGCTCTGGGGATGCAGGTGGGGACGCTTCCACCTCCCAGCAACACACAGATGGACCAGCAGTACAAGGTGGAGGGGGGAGGCAGGCCTCAGGGAAGGGCTCACCACCCACACCCCACGCACAGGGCCCACCTGGGGAAGGTCCGGCTCCGTAACTCCTTGATGAAGAGCTGGCTACCATTCTGCACAGGCTTCACATCGGGCATCTGCCCTGGACCGTGTTTGTGCCAGGTCCGCTTCTTCTTGACTGCAGGGGAGACAGGAGGTGAGGAGCACAGTCCTAGCCCACCTCTGCGGCCCTCACACCCACCACCCCACAAGGGGACCAACAAGGCAGATGAGAAGGAAGCCAGGGAGCTAAGGAACACAGCAAAACAGGAGACCTCCTGAGGACCTCACCTCACCACTCTAGCACCTCCTCACCTCACCAGACAGACAGACAGACACACACACACACACACACACACACACACACAGAGCCACTCTCCCTCCTCTCCTCACACCATCCTTCACTTTCTGGTCCAGAAGATAGGGTCTCCCAGGACACCTCCTCATTCAGGCATCAAGTGAGGCCAGAGGCACCTCCTGGAAGGTCCCCAGCCAAGAGGACCACCACCCTGTAGTCAGATGACACCTCCTGCTGGCTTCCATATCAGGAACTGGTCATCTCCCCACTAGGACCTTCGCTGCCTGACAGCCACCACCACTGGTAACAGACTTCTCCCCGCCTCCCGGTCAGTGCACATCCCCACCATGCCAGTGAAAAATGGGCTGGGTGTCCCCAAGTGGACCCAGGACTGAAGTTCTTGGTCATCCTCTAAGCCTCAGGGTCTCATTTCAACCATAAAGGGAATGATGATCATCATCATCTTAGGGATGGGAAAATAAGTTCAATCAGTTAGGTAACTTCATATTGTGATAGAGCTACAGTTCAGAGGTGCTGCAACTGTAATGCTTTCCTGTCCCTCTTATGTTTTTGTCACATGGTAACATTTGCCAAGCTTCTGTCCAGGAGCCCTGGGGTCCCTGCACCAAATCTGCATTGATCAGGTAAACCTGTGGGACCCACTGGTCACAGGCCAGAATCAGTTGAAGGGCACATGAGGGCAATTTGGGAGAGGGCCCTACAGTTCCAGGCCTGTGGCTGCAGGCAGGCCCCACCCTTGCCAAGGTCATTGCAGGCCACACTCCAGGTCCAGGAGACAGGAGCAAGAAGCTGGGAGGCAGCCTTTGCCCCTCCAGAGGGCTCTCAGTACAGGCCACAAGAGGGGTTTCTTGTCACCAAGGTGCCTGGTGCTGATGCAAAAGCCAACCGGGGTGTCTCAGATAGGTGCTGATCACAGTGCAGGCTCATCATAGATCTAAGAACACACTCTGGCAAGAAGTGCCAGCACTGAGCACCTCTGTGTCTGATGAGGCACACATCCCTCAACAGCAGCACCACAAGTCTGAATCCCAGGATGTACACAGCAGTTCTGTGTGCGTGCGCACGCACACACACACACACGCACACAATGGACTGCATGCTTGTGACCTGCCCCCCAAATTCGTCTCCTGAAATCCTCAGTCCTCAAAGTGATGATACTAAGAGGTGGGCCTTTAGAAGATGACGAGCCATGCAGGTAGAGCTCTCAGGTAAGAGACCCCAGGGGCCTCCCTTGTCCCTCTACACAGTAAGAAGGTGCCACTATGAACCAGCTGTGGGGTCCTTACCAGACACCAAATGTGCCAGCACCTTGATCTTGAGCTTCTCAACCTCCAGAATGATGAGAAATAAATTTTCTTATGTAAGCCACCCAGTCTGTGGTATTTTATTATAGTAGCCCAAATGAACAAATTCACGCACACATATGAACATGCAAGCATACACACACATGCACACACATACACACACACAGATGTACATGCACATCATTCCCAGGGGGCCGGCTGTAGGAGATGAGAAGGAGGCTCTTGCACCTGGGCTCCTAGGTGACCAATGGGCCTTTGCCCATACCCCTCCAGGCCAAGGGGCAGGTTCTGGCTGAGGAAGGTACACACACTTCCCACAGGAGGCATGCAGTCACCACTGGGTCAGCGGTGTTTCTGGGGATTCCTGAGGATGGTGAAAAAATCAAACTATGTGCTCATCAATGTGCACAACCTGCTCAGTCCTATACTCTTGTCACCCTACTCAGCCAGACTCACACAAAAGGCTCCAAGCAAGGACCCCTCAGAACACTGCAAGAGGGCTCTGCTCTGGGGTTTCCAGCTCTTTCTTCCCAATGAGTATGGAACCTCTTCTCAAGTGACAGCACAAGCACTTGTGGGGGAACCACCACATCAAGCAGCGTCATCCCCCGCACCCTCCCAAGCACCTGCTAAAAGAGTGAGCACATAGGTCCTATCCAACACACCAGGGAATGCCTCCTGGGGTCTCCTGGCCCCACTCCCAGGCCTCATAGCGCAGCCCAGGGTCCAGGAACACCAGAATAATCCTTCCTATCTTTACTCTGCCTTGCAGCAGTCAGCAGGATTGGCAATTAGGTTGCCCTGATGCTTGCACCAACTGCTACCTGCTCAGAGGTAGGAAGATGATTTAGGACTTCTGGAATGGCCTTAGGCAGACCCTTGGCCTTGAAGTCTCAGGAAGGGCCACCAGCTGTCCTATCTTCACCTATCCACACATCTGGCAGCATTTAACAGGTGCAAATGTGCTGGAGAGCAAGGGACAAATCTGAAACATGCAGCCTCCTCATTGCCATAGTGATGGATGCAAGCCAGGTCCTGAAGGGGCCAAGAGAGTACAGTGACATCTGCAGATCGGGGAGATCCCACCCCACTCAGTACCAGCCTCACCAGGAGTCAGACCAGCTCCCAAGACTCCACTCCGCCCAGCCCTGGCCCACAAAACAGGTGCTGTGGGCTCCCTCCCATTGCCTGCACCCTCCCTCCATCCCACTGTCTCCACAGGACTCAGCCCACCTGTGAATGGTACCTGTGGCTCCCTTGTAGGGGGTGATACTGAGTGGTTGTGGCTAGAGCCAGGCATAGTCCTGCTTATCCTTTCCCAATACTCCCTACCGACCCTCAGCTCAGCCAGCCCAGGACCCAGGATGCAGGGTGTGATCAGCCAAACAGCCAGGGCCATATCCATCCTGCAGCCTTTGTGAGCGCCCATAACTCTAATCCAGGCAGGAGGCCAGAGGCCACACTCACACATATGTGTGGCTTCAGTTCAGTCTCCAGGCCACCTGCCTCCCAAATCCTTGGAGACCAGGCCTGCACTCCGCTGCACCCCAGCTCACCCTCCTTGGGGTTCAAAGCCTACTTGGATGAATCTACACAGGTGAGCTGAACTTGAGCCTTGGGAGTCCCCAGGCCCAGCTTCACCATGAGGGAAAACCAGAGGTGGGAAGGGAGGAAGAGGTCCAGGACATAAAAACAGTAGCAGTCTGGAAAAGGCTAGGCCCTCTCAGGTTCCCTGAGGAGGCGGCAAGTGGGATAAGGGGGGCTGTTGCACGAGGGGTAGGTAGAGCCCCCATAAATGGAGATGATCTGGGCTTACCTGTGGCAGGGCCAGCTGGGCAGGACTAGGTTGAGCTGGGGGCTCTGGACATCCGCTTCACTGCCACTGACTTGGGTCTCCAAATTCACAACCTGACTCAGAGCAATCTGGCCACTGAAGTGCTATATGCACCCTGACCAGGGCTTCAGGGGTCTTTGTATTGCTGCCTTGCATGGCAGGAGCCAATCAGGAGGGGCTCAGTGAGGCCATAAGGGGAGGCAGTCTGGCTGGAGGGGTTCCCTAGGCTTATGCCATCTGGCACTACCAAGATCATTTCAGTCCGAGCACGGCCCAGGCAGGTGATACGGTTGGCAGTGGTACTTACGGGTGGACTTCCCGTGGGTTTTTTCACAGTTTGGACAGTGGTAAATGTCGATGTCTGGCGCCTCCTCCTCCTCCACCCCAACACAGCTGAAACAGGAGGAGACAGACCATTACTCACAGGTTCAATCTCAGATGCATTCCATGCCCCAAGCCCAAGGGAGGGTCCTTGCTCACCGTCTGGGGACAGAGGACAGATGGAGTAGGGCTGTGCAGGGACAGTGGTCCTTCCGAGAGAGCATGAGGGAAGGGAAGGGAGGGGAGAGACTGCACAGCTGCCCTCCTGGATATGACTCCACATCCCAGCCCCACACACAGTGGTGGAAATGCCATTACCAGGTCCCACAGAATGGCCCACAAATCCAGCAGGCCTGCCTTAGTGAGGGCCATCTCCATCCTGTCACTCCAGGGCCCAGAGAAAACAAGGGGGATATCAGAGTTGGGCTACCCTCACTGTTTCCCCTAGAGCATCCCGAGGATCAGCCTGCAACACCCTGTGTGAGCCACACCATGGTCATCTTCCCAGCTTGGCTTCAGATGGCTCAGGGCGAAGCCCAGGTACATCAGACCATTCCCTTTTCCCTCCTTCCTGCCTAGAGTTCCTCCAGGCCCCTGCAAACCCACTCAGATACCCCTGGAGAGAAGCAGAAGCTGGCCTGGTCACAGGCCAACAGCCACTTAGAGAATATGATGATAGTGCATACGAAAACATGACCTAAAACATCAACAGGCTTCCAGAGAACCAAACCCAGTTAGATGGAAATGTGTAGCTCTATTCTGATGCCTTCTACTGTTTTGGTTAAAAGTGACAGAAGCACAGCCTGTGCAATAAATGAAAACCCAGCTGGTCAAGGGCAGGGCACAGGGACAGGCGGCACCCACAAGAATAAAGCAGCCAAGGGATTGGAAAACATTTCAACACTTCTTTCTAGTGAGCAAAGGAATGTAAATAAAACTGTCCAGGAAATTTTTAAATTGACATTTTTCCCCAGGGCAGCCCAGGAGAACAAGCTACCTGGAAGCCACCAGATGTACACTGAGCAGATGGCTCTTATTTAGGGCAAGTACTACAAAGCCCTGAAAAATCAAAGTCCTTGCTGGGCACAGTGGTGCACACCTATGATCCCAGTGCTCTGGGAGGCGGAGCCAGGAGGATCACAAGTTCAAGTACTGCCCAGGCAACTCACCAGTGCAGATGTTGAGCACAGACTTGTAATTCCTTAGCTTGTAACTCCTTTCCTGCACTTGCCAAGGACATGGGCCTCATTCCCCAGCCCAGGTCTCAGGGCACTCAGTCACCTAGGCAATGCCAGGAGGGGGCTATTAGGACTTCCTTGGACTAGAGACATAGGGCATGCGTCTTCTGGGGAGGGAAGCTCAAGGCAACTAGAGTCACCTCCTCTTGCACCTGTGGTCATCCATGTCTGAACCACTGGAAAGGGCACTTTCCTGACTTCTGTCCTCCCTCGAGCTTTATTTGATAACAAAGAAGCCATCCCTGAGCTTGTTTTCTCATCTAAAGGAAGGTCTCTCAAATATAACCATTGAAGGAAGATAAAATATACATAAATGCATCTAGAAACATCAGACAGAATCATCCAATCTAAAAGTTGGTTCTGAGGCCGGGGATTTAGCTCAGTGGTTCTGCTGCCTGCCTCGCAAGCTCAAGGACCCAAGTTCAATCCCAGGTACCAAAAATAAAAAAGTTGGTTCTTTGACAAGCCTTTAGCCAGAGTGACCAAGAAAAAAAGAAAAAAGACTCAAATTACTACAACCAGAAGTGAAAGTAAAGACATTACTATTAACCCTAGGAAAATAAAAAAAGGATTATAGGAGATTACTATGAACAATTATAGACCAACAAGTTAGACAACCTAGACAAAATGGACAAATCCCTAGGAATACAAAAGAAAGGATTTTCTATCAAGAAAATCCTAAAAAAAATAGAAAATCTAAATAAATCAATAACTACTGTTAAAGAGATAAAATCAGCCATCAAAAAACTCCCTAAAAGAAAACTCCATGACCACCACTAGTAAAGTCCATCAAGCATTTAAAGACTAATACTACAGGCCAGGGATTTAGCTCAGTGGTTTCACCGCCTGCTGCTCAACCAAGCGCAAGGACCCGAGTTCGATCCCCGGTACCAAAAAAAAAAAGACTAATACTAACATTAGAAGTCTTCTCTGGCAAGAAGAGGGAACATTTTCCAACTCATTTTATGAGCTCAGCATTATTTTTATTCCAAAGCTAGATAAAGACACAAGAAAACTACAGACCAAAATCTCATGAATGCTGCTGCAAAATCCACAACAAAATATTAGCAAACAAAATCTAGCAGTACATTGAAGGAACTACACCCCAGATCAAGTGTTTATCAAAGGAATTCAGGTTGGCTCCACACTAGATAACTAATGCTTCAACCCCTGGGGGTCACATCTGTCTGCAAAAAAGGACATGCCCTGGGCCTGCTCCGAGACCAGGATGCGGAGGCTGGGCTTCCCTTTCCTCTCATGAGGGAAAAGATGGGAGAAGTGTGGCTCACCTGTCCCTTCCTCCCGGGCTGGGATAGCCCAGGCTCACACTGTTCTTGGCTCTCTGTCCTCCCCAAGTCTCTTCCTTCTGAAGAGGTGCCACACCACATTAATACAAAGAAGTAAACCCTAAGCGAGCATCTCAATTGATACAGAAAAAACATCTAATAAAATCCAATAGCCACTTATGATTAAAAAAAAATCCACAAACTAGGAATAGGAGGAAACTTCTTCAGCACGGTAAATATCTCACATGAAAAACCAACAGTTAACATTATATACAGTGGTGAAGGGTGACAACTTTCTCAGGAATAAGACAACATGTCACTCTATTCGACATCAAAGTCCTAATCAGAGTTAAAAAATGAAATAAAAGGCATAGAAATTGGAAAACCAAAAGTAAAATGATTTTGCCACTGCCTGCCTCACAAGTACAAGGTTCTGAGTTTGATCCTCAGTACCAAAAACAAAAAACATAAAATGATTTTTTATTTGCATATGACATAATCTTATATCCTAAAGAATCCACTATACACAAAAACCTGCTAAAGCTAACAAATTTAAAAGTTGTAAGATGTGTGACTAAGACACAAAAAAACCCAGTTTTATTTCTGGCAATATGTAAAATCAAGAATACAATTACAAGAACATCAAAAAAATACCAAGGAATAATCATTACCTAAGATATACAAGACTTATATACCACTGAAAGAAATTTTAGAAAGCAGAAATAAATGAAAATGGATCCAATGTTCACAGACTGGAAGATTCAGTAGTGTTAAGATAGCAATACTACAGATTTGTTGTAATTCCTATCAAAATCTGAACACCTTTGTTCACAAACCCAAGTAGCCAAAACAATCTTCAAAAAGAAAAAGTTAAGAGGACATTTCTCAATTTAAAAGCTGACAACAAAGCCATAGTAATCAAAACTGTTTGGCACTTCCATGGAGCTAGGTATATAGATGAACAGAATAGAAATGAGAACCCAGAAAGAAATCCATACATCAATAGCCAATTCATTTTTGACAAAGGTTGTAAGAACATCCAATTGGGGGAAAGAATCATCTCTTCAACAAATGACAGCCACATGCAATAAAATAAAACTGGAAGCCTACCTTATACCATATACAAAAAATAACTGAATATAAGAATTACAACTGTAAAACCTTTAGAATAAAAATGGAGTAAATCCTCATGACTTTGGATTTGGCAGTGGATTTCTAGATGTGACAACAAAAGCATGAGCAACATAAGAAAAAATAGATAAACTGGATTTCATCAAAATTAAAAACTTTTGTGCATCAAAGAACATTGTCAACAGAATAAAAAGGTAACTGACAAGATGAGAGAAAATATTTTCAACCATGTATCTGACAGGAGTTTAGCATCCAGAACATATAAAGAACTCTTACAGCTCAGCAATGAAAAGACACAATCCAATTTTTAAAAGGGTAAGTGACTCAAACAAACATTTCTCCAAAAAAGATATATATACAACCAACAATGACATTCAATGTTCTTAGTTATTAGTTATCAAAACCACAACAAGATATCACTTCACACTCACTAGGGATGATTATCATTGTTTAAAGGAAAATAAGTATTTGCAAGGATGGGGAAAATTGTAGCCTATTTACAAGTCCATCAATGGAGAACATGTAAAGTGGTACAGTCACCATCATCTACAACATCATTACATCTTCATCATCACTAACCTTAGCCGAGCACTCACTCCGAGACAGGCAGCATGCCAAGAACTCTGAATGCAGTTTTTACAACAACCCACCCATGCTGAGGATTACTGTGATTAGTCCTATTTATAAAAGTAGGGAAACCAAGGCACAAATCCTCTCCTGGTTCTTCTGCCCTTGCCCTAGGGCATTTACAGACGCAGATGAAACAGACAAACAGCTAGTTACCACTTGGGTCCAATACGGCAGACAAACTCTCCCCGTACACCAGAGGCTTGTGTCCTAGACAGGTGGCTCTGCACAGTCCTGAAGTCTGGGCAACAGACCTTGATGCACAGAAAAAAACCTTGGCAACATTTTGAAAACACAAAGCTGCCTCTATCTCGGAACAGAATCTGAAGTACAGTCAGGTTGTTTAAAGAATCCAGCATAAGAAACAAAGCCATTTAAAGCAGAATGTAAAGGGATGTTTGGCTGCTCTCAGGGTTTAAAATGACTTTTTAAAGAAACAAACAGAAATTGGAAAGAAAACTCAGAAAAAACACTGATGGATTAAAATTATGGTCCAAATCATCCAAACAGAGTTTAAAGTGCACTGCCAAGTGTCACATTCTTCCTCCATGGACTTTACACTAAGGGGATCTACCCAGTAAAGAAAAAAAAGGGCCAAAGCCATCATCAGAACAGGGGTCCACAGCTACCGCACGTGAGGCGGTCCTTGACACGGGCAGCAAGGGACAGAACGGACAGGTGGGCCGGATAGCCAGAGGTGGTAATCCAGGGTGAGCTGACCACGGCACTGCTCGCATCTCAGTCTCTCTGCAGAAACCTGAGCCTCAGCCACACCCTAAGTCACAGAAGT